GCCTAGGGGAAATATGAAGGTTGGAGATTGGGGGTTGGTCGAATGGGCCCAGGATTCGACCTAGTTGTACTTCCTTATTAATTTTTGCACGAACTTCATTTGGATATTGTTTAACAGATAGTAAATTATTTGATTGTACACGCATTCTAGGACCTTCATATTGGAGTCTAAATCCTTTTCGTAGGCCGTGTATTAAAAAGTCTGCAGCAGATTTATTAAAGTAGGTATCAAGGTATTTAGTTATAATTTCTGTTTTGAGGGGTGAATTACCGAGGGCCCATATATCTTGGGAATCTCCTAGCACGGGTAAAATTGGAGGCTCCTCTTTGTCTAAAGTTTGAAGAGTCTGGTTGTCTAAAACTGGCAGTGTTATTGAATCGAAAGGTAGATTGAGGCCGAATGGAGTTGTGTGGGTAAAAAGGTCTACTTTGGAAGCATGTCACTTTTGCATGTTCAGCACCACACTGTATGCATGTGTGCGCATATGGACAATGATGTCTATTACAAAAACCTTTAAAATTAAAATCATAACATTTGCCATAGGTAGAATTTGGGGTTTTCGTTGAAGTGTATGTCGCAGGCGCATGCACATACTGAGAGTTAGTAACGTTGGCCATATACAAGAGCCAAAGCTCATAGTCAATATGTTCCCAAGAGCTATGTGGTGCTTGAGCTCGTTTACGTCTAAATTGTTCGTCATATTGACACCAACCATGTCCATTGGTTCTAGAAACCCCCATGCGTATTGTTATCATATATTTCAACAATTCTTGACATTTTGTGGGATGTGCACTGGTATAAATGCTCATGAAAATAATGAAAGCATCAGTCCATTTCTCTATATCAAGATATTTATTTGATTCTTTCTCTTTAGATATTATTTTACCATCCGCATCAATATAAAGAAATTTATGTTGTTCTTGATCATGATTTGATTTTAATAAAATACTTAGATCAATATATTCACCGGCTATTTAATATTTTAGATTTATTTGCAGCTGTAACATTTGATCCAATCATTTCAGGAATACTTTCTACCTGGTACCCATCCCTGCTATGATTGACCCCCAAATTATTACCTGGCAGTGTAATTTCTTCTGGCTGGGGGGACTTTAAATTAAGACTGTCATCTTGTGACAATTGGGGAATATGATTGTTTGGTTGAATAACAGGTAAGGGTATTGGTGACCAATCGGTACCCACAACAGACTCCTGACCTTGGGTCTGGCAAGGTGTTGTTGTTGGCAACATCTTCTTGGATTACTGGTCTCTGTTTAGCGTAAGAGCTCTTACTCTTACGAGTGGATTTTCTTGTAGTTGTAGTCTTTGATGTCGATGGACCTTGTTTTCCCATAGTTGAACATGAAACATATTAAAATGAACCAAATTAGCACGCTCAGGAGAGCAGGAGAGGCAGAGCCAGTGGCTTCTTACTCAATACTGACAGTTGTCTAGGCCTAGCGTTTACATAATATCAATGAACTCATGCAGTCTCCGGTAACACCACACAGAAAAGACAACATAAGAGTGACAAGAGTGAAGAATGGCCCTTCTCAATATTCTCATTATCTATTAGTATTCTATAAATAGCCTCACTGTTTAGTCATTCTGTAGTGTCATCTTGACACAAGTAACAAAGTAGAAGTCCTGTAGCTGTATAGGCCCTACTAGGCCTATTAAATATATGCACACATGGTCAGCAAAATGCCATGTGACTTCTAGGGATTCTACACTACTAGATCTAGATGTTTCAAATCCAAGCCATCCTACAAAACTGTGCTCTAAAATTGAATCAAAATAGACCCTATCACTAAAGGAGACATCATTTTTTTCCATAAGTCAAGTTACATCACTGTATTTTTTATTCTTGACTCACAATTGAACATGGAAATTACTTTTGATCCTTCTCTCAGGATTGTTCTTTCAATGAGGAAGTATGTGAGGAGAGACACCTGTTAGCCTAGAACATTAAAGGGGAGATAACTGTTTGTCCTTGATAATCTAGGCTACATTGCTAATGTAAATATACAGCTGTCAATTTTATCTATGATTTGTTTTGTCCCCTTTCTTCTGTAATAGGGGTTAGAATCAATGAGGGGAGTAGTTATTAGAGATGAATAATGTATTTTGCTTAAATAAATTCACCTATTGTATAATCAATAGCTGTTATTATTTCAAAGAAAACATATGCATACTAAAACAAACACTATTATCAATTATTAAAACAACACTTTATTATTGATTCAAATAGTCATATTAATACAAACACAAATATAAACGTATTAAAACAATACTTTTTTATTGGTCCGAGTGGTCCTTTTGTATGGTCCGTGTAGTCTTTTTTGTTTCGTCCGAGTGGTCTATTAGTTGGTCCAAGTGGTCATGCATTCGTACAAAAGAATAGAATCATTCAGAAAGTGTAGGCTACTCAAAATAACAGAGTGAAGGCGACAATTACATGTAACACATCGTGGACATTGTATAAATATATGACATGCACATGTAATGTACACGTGTGTGAAATGGCTTTATTCAATATCCGCTTCCACCGAAATGAATTGGGCGACATTTAAAGTTGATGTATATTGTCACAGCGGAGATTTGTCGCCGATGAACACAGACAGACTAAGAATATAGTCCCAAAAATGGCGCGTTTCTGACCACGTGACTTACCGTTAAGCGCCCCGTGGAGTGGATCGAGTGCTCTATGAATGATTGATTTAGATTAACTGAAGCTTCAAGCTCATTGTATGACGTAAAAAATTTAAAGTTTGGATTTTATAGCAGCCAATAATTGATGGATTACATCTAAGTCATAGACGAAGATGTAATGATACGTTGTAAAAAAATTGTAAGTTGTTCATTGTTGCATACATTTTGGCTGACGTTATATGCATGTACAGAATGCCGGTAAATGTTTTCCCGAGATGTTATTATTCAAACCGGCCTGTACATTATACATGTACACGTTTTCACGGCAGCATTACTATATTACAACTCCTTCAATATATAAACATTTTGTTAAAATCTGAACAACGCATGTGAAATTGGATGTTCGGCAACAGAATTGAATACCTGGCGTAATTGGACACCTTGACTAATTTTAATCACAACTCGGGAAATTGAACGGTCCAACTAATTATTGAACAGTCGTGAAAATTAAGTGGGATGCTTATAATTAAACACGTGTCGACAAACTAAACACTAGTTAATTAACGCTTGGTAATCAAAATTGCACGTTGAGATTTAAGTTGTATACAAGGACAAATTGAATGCTATTAGGCCAAAATCAATGGTATTTATGAATAACTCTACATAGATTAGATAATAACGCTATTTACCCGAGATTCCACGGTACCAGTCGTATAGTGTTGGCTGTCACTTTTACATTCGAACAATTTACACATTTACACAAATCCATACAAGAAACTTTTCAAGTCCATACAAAAAAGTATAAAGTACATCCATTTGTTCGGCAGCCTGATTTACATCCACAGTGAAAATTTCCTTTGGTGCTTGATCTGTAGTGTAGTCACCCTAAGGAAGAGGGACATAAATTTCTGCAGCTACTGTAAGGCAACCAGGGGGGAATGCGCCAGAATATGCGCCCCCCTTTTCACTGGTGATTTAAGGGCCCCGACGACATTTTCAGCCAGGAGGCTGCAGAAACAATTCATACATATTTTTTTCAAAAAAAGTAATTGCACTTGTACCAACAATTCATACATATTTTTTTCAAAAAAAGTAATTGCACTTGTACCAACTCTTTTTCTCCACAACAACTTGGGTATATTTCTTAAAGTACTGTGCATGGTATTTCACCTCAATGGTGACACAGTCTTTACCACAGTGGTCATCTCTCTTGGTCTGAGTGGTCTTAATCCGACTAGTCCTTGGTCTGAGTTGTCACGCATGCATCAGGCCTTCACATGAATAAATTCCTGGTGAGTCAAAAAAAGCTCTCCTGAAATTAGAAAATGGGTAAATTGCTCTCCTGAATCTTTTGAGGAGAGCTTTGTTAGCATTTGTGATAAAGACCAGTTATTTTAATCCATTTTGAAACCAACCAGCCAGAATTAGGTCAGTTGAGATCCCGGTAAGAAACAGGATAATTCGAAGCTCCCATTAACTTTAATATAACCAGACTTCAACAAATCTGTTATGGAGAATGTTGTATTCTGAATAGGCTAAGATATGACTTGAAGTTCAAGTCAGTAATATTACTGAATAAATTACTGTCTTCGTTTATTTGATGGATAAACGGATATCATCAGTCGATCGAAATTAGGATTTTTCTACTATGGCCAGTATCAGAAAATGCAGTAGCCAAAATAAGCTGATATGACACCATGACATTTCTTCATATTCAAAACACAAATTATTGTTTTTGTCTATCACGTAACTTACAAAGTTTTTATTCATTCGTGGATGAAAGACAAGCAGCACAATTACCACGTGACAACCATAATTGAAATTGCTTCATAAAAAATAAAATTCTGTACGACTATGCCATAGCCTTAAATAATAAGGACAATATTTTTAAGAATAACTCCCTGTCGGCATGTGTAAAAAATAAAAATGAATAAAACTAAAACACTATTTAAAACTAAATCTAGCAATGCTGGTTTATTGACCTAATTCCAATCGATGCATGTTACATGTTATCAGGAATCTGAAAGCATTTGCGATCCTGACGGAAAAATATATTATTAATGTCTGTTTCTCGGGATATCCGGTGTTCTATCAGGGATTATTCAATGACTATTTAAATTTAACTAACAACGAGTCAGTGAATCCAATTATTATTTTAATATCTACCTAGAATTTGTATGGATCGAGCGTCGAAGATGGGGCGCGAATGCCGAGATTCATACAATCCATGCCGAGCGAGATGGTTTCTTTCGCCACATGGTTTATTATTAAAAGGAAACTTACTACACCTGTTATGAATAACCAGCAAGCTTGTATTGTTTTATAAAATTCTTTTTTAATCATTTCAGCTTTACGTAGAACAGATTCGCGGCAATCACTATATGCTTCCAGATCCTCCTTGTATGGACGCAAAAGTCGAAGGGTACGAAGAAATTCTTTTGGGGAATCAGTTTCAACCTATGCACATGATGATTTGGATACTTCAATGTACAGTGATTTTGTAGATAGAACAATGTCAAAGAAAGGCTATAATCGTGCATCTAGATCTATGGGTGATATTTTTAATAGAGAAATGAGAGAAAAAGAGACCCAAACATTACATGAAACAGCGACTCAAACTGGTAAAGGACAAGTAACTATTGCTCAACCTAAAAAATATGTAAGAAATCAATCTATGCGAAAAAAAAGTGCTTCTGGAGTAACTGGCAACAACGCAAAAGATGTTGCATTAAAGGCAAAACAAAATGAAACAAAGACAAAAGACAAGGAAATCACAATTAAAATTTTTGAAACACAAGATAGAGGTGTTGATGCAAATCTGCCTTTCATTGATCCACCAACATCTCCTAAAGGAAAATCCAAACCTAAACCTGTTCCAAGGAAATCCTTTAAAGGTGCTAATCAAAGAGATGATACTAATTCTGAAAACAAGAATGTAGTTGAAAAACCTGTAACATCCAATCCCAGCGCAAGCATGATTCAACCCCAGTTTATACCGCCTGTTTTGATGCAGCCATATTATCATCCTCCAGGGTCATCTATACCAAATGGTTATTTAACTATACAACCTGGTGGCATATCACATAGTGCTCTTCCTGCTCAATCACCAAGTCATATAAACACAGTTTCACAAACACCATCAACTTTTCAACATACATCAGGTAAATCCAAGTCAAATTGGGATCTGCTTTGTTCAATAACAGATGCGGAGAAACAGAGAGTCCCATCGGCGTCAGATACAACATCAGTTACAGGATCTGTGTTTAACAATATGATTGCTTCACCACCAACACCTGATCATCATGCTGTTTACAATTTAACCTATTCTTCTGGCTTTGGAGATGCTTACCAACAATCATTTCCACAGGGTTACACTACTAGCCCCCATTCTGTGCCAAGTATCAATGGTAGGTTTACACCCACTGATACAAGTAGTGGACACTTTACATTGTTTCGTCCTCAAAATATATCTGATGGTAATCATGGAAGCCCTGTACACATTCTGCAGTCATCAAGTTCAGAGACAAATCATGACAATCCCTTGGAAGGTCTAAAACAACTGTCAGAACAAAAATCAGCCCATACAACCAATAAGCAGGAGAGTGTGGTGTAATTTATTATTTGTAATTGCTAGAATTAGTTATCAAAAGGCATTATCACTTCCATCAAGAAAACAGACAGACACATTTTTATGTAATGACAATATGCGTTTAGTTGTCCACGTTAGATACTAGGAGGGTTTTTTTTGTCGTCTATTTGTTTTTTTTGGTTTTTTTATGAAGATAAATATACCTCTTGGTTATTTATTACTGATTGGTAAAAAGAGGTTAGAAGGTTTGGTTTTACAACATTCTTGCAGACATACTAGTTTGCTTTTCATCCATAAATGTTAGACACTGAGTTATGTTAAGCATTGGAGAAAAAGTTGTTAATAGGTTTTGGTCTTGAAAAGTATTAGATATCAAAGGAATTGCCCTGCCCCGCCCCACCCAACCCCATTCATAAAGGCAGAATCAGTGAGTTGTAAATAATTGGAGTTTTATAATGTCGCCATGGAAAAGGCACTATAACTCAGGTCATAAATTTATGTATGAAAAGAAAAACTTTTGTGCCCACCTGTTTAAAGATGCATTATGTAAGAGCTAAATCTGACTATTGCAAGTTTTTATTTTGGCTTCAAATGTTATATAAACTATTATTTAGACATTAATTCAAATGACAAGCCTATAATCAACTCTCTAGAACATCAGATGGTGGAGATGTAAACGGATTGAAATACGATCGACATTTAATGATTTAATTTTAAAATGGAGAAGCGAGGCTGAGTCTCAATTAACAAGTAGCTATGCTACAATAAAAAACAAATCTTTGCCCCATTTTGTCAAAACTTCAAACAATGATAACATCGCTCAGAATAAAGTAATTTGAATGAAATGTTCAATATATCAATTTTGAATTATCTATTTTGGAACTATTATAGCGATAACTCTCAGCTCTTTATCTAAATTTTACATAATGTATCTTAAAAACTCATCTTTTCAAAATTGATAACAAAACCTTGAGTGAGTGTTGTGGATTTGGCCATGTATAAAATGGTAATAAAAAAAACATGGGGATTAATCAATCATTAGTAGTCTCTGTCAATTAATTAGTTAATTAGTGTCAATTAATTAGTTAATTAGTGTCAATTAATTAGATAATTAGTGTCTAAAACAACATTCTACAAAAGTGTATCTATTTAATCTCTTCAAATATGATGTGGTGTCAGATGTAATAAAAAGAGCATACCCTGCCTGAGAACTTAATAAGAGTGATAAGGAATTGGTGGACTAGAGCAGGGGCGGATCCAGAGGGGGGGTTTGGGGGATCGACCCCCCCCCCTGCTCAGCTACATAAATTTTTTTGTAAATCAACACTTTTTATGAGAAAGGTTTCTCGGCCGTGTGCTTTATCCTTTATCGTCAGATTTGGGACAGGATGGGCACTCAAAGCACGAGATAATGATATAGACATTATGTGATATCACAATTAATGCTTTGCATCCATGAAATTGAATCACAGTGTCATTGTATTAATTCATAATAAAAATTGACGTCAAACAAGGTGTTGGATTTCTCTGTTTAAAAAGCTCAATGTGTATGTAAATACGCCAAAATGACGATAGAGACCATGCGGGGGGGGGGGGGGGAGATACATTGTCTCATGCAAAAATTCCTGGATCCGCCCCTGTAGAATACTTGAAATCTAATATTTGCTGTGATGTTTTATATATCAGACACATATATGCCGTGGCAGCACCAATATCTTCTTGTAGGTTGGCACTTTACATGGATATGTGTCTGTTAACTATGATATCATTTTCTATCTGATCAAAAGATGCTACGTGTTTGCTCACCCATGTCAAAAGGTTGACAAAACTGGATACGTTTTTGGTAAGGTCATTTATTCAGAAACTACGGAAGCATATTAGGGACAAACAAATAATTTTAAAAAAAAATATATGTCCTAATTAGGAGTTGCTATTACCTAGGACGTTAGTATCCCCTAATTAGGACATAGTATCTCCTGCTCATGACATATAAACAAAACAAAAATTATCATTAAGTCTAGGACTTAGTATGTCTTAATTAGTAATTACTATCTCCAATTAGTAATTACTATCTCCAGTTAGTATCTCCTAATTAGTATGGCAGGATTTAAGGGCCAAAACTAAATGTATGTTGAAAGTGTTATTATACATCATAGAAAATACCTAATACCTAAGTTGCAAAATACAAATGTCATTATAAAAATACATAATGCCGTTAATGTAAAAGTCAAATGTCAAAATACAAATGTTTTTTGAAAAAAATCCACTAAAGTTACAAACAACACAACTTATTCACATATACACTTCAACAAAGTAACTTTGTCAATTGACATTTGTCTTTTGTCTTTTAACACATCTAATCATGAGTTCTTGGGGTCAATGGTCACCGGGTTACATGTAAAATTGTTAAAATGAAAGCTCCAAAGAAGGAAAGATAACTTTCGATGACATTGAGAAAGTAAAGCAGACAGTAATGGTTGAGGAAATTTTTATCAGATTTTCAGAGTAGAAATAAAAATTTATGTCATAAATTCAAATATCTGCGTTCGATTCACGATATTAAAGTTCAGCTGGATGTTCTATCAAGAATATTGTCCGATAAATTTGAGACTTTTGATTGTAATGGCATTGGATAATGTTGTTTTACCGATTCTCTCACCAGTATACCAGCACCCGGATTCTAATTTCGAAATGAAACATATTCCTAGCGCCAATAAAAACCTATATATAATTATCACGAAAGTAATTTTTACCTTCATATTAGAAAATAACATTTAAGACATATTAATGCAAAGTATATATAATACACAAGAAACCCCAAAAAACTATTACTGTAAATATACTAAAATATCGCACACTAGGTTAATGGGTACTGAGCACGCAGAAAAGGGTACGTCCATTTTGCACCAAGAAGGCCCGAAACCAGCTTTGGTGGCAAACTGTTTTATATTTCACAGAATCAAGGGATGAATAAACAACTGGAATACAAAGTTTCAAAAGTCTCCCTATGTTGGCTTTTCGAGATATATTACCATAAACATACTAAAAATATGGGAGAATTGGTTTAAGGTAGGCTCTCTGTGCACACAATAACTTCTAAACTAGCTTTGGTGACTCCAAGATCTTTATTTCATCAAATAGAAAGATGCATAAGGTATGAACATGCAAAATTTCATTAACTTTCTATCTTGGCGTATCGAGTTATATCATCGCAAAGGTCATATCACCTGGATTTGAGGCGAGGTTCGTGGGTTTAATAAACAAAGGGTATGCCCACTCTGCATCAATGATGGATGTACCCCTTTCTGCGTGCTCAGTTAGCGGTAATAGTTTTTTGAGGTTTTCGTCTATTATATATACTTTGCATTAAAATGTCTTAAAATATTATTTTTTAAAGATACATTATGGGAGATTAGATAAAGAGCTGACAGTTCTCACTATAATTGTTAAAACCTAGATAATGTAACGGGAATTTGCTGAAAATTTCAGTCTAACTGATCCACTCTGAACCGAGAATTTAGCGATTGTATTTTCGGCCTAGCCTCGATCATCATTACAAAAGTCGGTACGATAAAAAACATAGTCTTGATTATCCATTTCATGATTTAATCATGAATTAAAGTTGAGCAGCAAACCAGATACTAATCCAGTAAGTATCGCAGGCTAGTGATGACATCGAGAGTTGATTATGGTCTGGATAAGTTAATTAGGGGATGCTCGATTCACAGTCCAGAACGTCCAGAATTGAAAGAATTGCAATCGAGTAACGCGGAATTCAGTTCTGTCACGGTTCTGTCAGTACCAACAACGGTGGTGGTGTGAGTAGAATCGTGACATAATTAAAAGGTTTTGGCTGTACGGTTGATGTCGAGTTAATAATTTAGATAACATTTCAGGCCTAAAGAAAGACCCGCAGTTAGGCAGATTTAGCTCTTGCATAATGTATGTTTAATATAAAGGTAACAATTATTTTTGTGATAATTATAGGGTTTTATTGGCACTAGGAATATGTGTGCTGTAATACTGGTGTGAGAGAGAGAGAAATGGAGTTTAACGCCCATTTGACACAAACTAGGTCATTTCGGGACTAACACATGGTTCAATTTGATTTCATTAACTCGTTTGGACGTAGGGGTCTTTAGCAGTGGGAGGAAACTGGAGGACCTGGAGAAAACCCACGAGATGGGACAGGCGACCCTACCGGGGAATCGAAACCACGCCAGTTAACTCAATGACAGACCGTATAATACAGCGCGCACTTGCTAACCATTCGGCCCCCCCCCCCCCACATTTAATATGTCATAAATGTTATTTTCTAATATGAAGGTAAAAATTATTTCGTGATAATTATATATAGGTTCTTTTATTGGCGCTAGGAATATGTTTCATTTCGAAATTCAAATCCGGGTGCTGGTATACGGGTGAGAGATTTCGCTCGGTAAAACAACATTATCCAATGCCATTACAATCAAAAGTCTCAAATTTATCTGACAATATTCTAGATAGAACATCCAGCTGAACTTTAATGTCGTGAATCGAACGCAGATATTTGAATTTATGACATAAATTTTTATTTCTACTCTGAAAATCTGATAAAATTTCCTCAACCATTGCTGTCTGCTTTACTTTCTCAATGCCATCGAAAGTTATCTTTCCTTCTTTGGAGCATTCATTTTAACAATTTTACATGTAACCCGGTGACCCTTGACCATTGACCGTTGACAAAAGACAAATGTAACGTTAGTGGATTTTTTTCCAAAACATTAGTAATTTGACATTGGACTTTTACATTAACGGCATTATGTATTTTTATAACGACATTTGTATTTTGCAACTTAAGTATTGGGTTTTGGCCCTTAAATCCTGCCATAAATTAGGAGTTAGAATCTCCTAATTATCCCCAAGGCTTCTCCTAATTAGGAGTTAGTATCTCCTAATTAGGAGTTAGTGTCTCCTAATTAGGCCTTAATATCTCTGAATTAGGCCTTAATATCTCCAATTTAGGCCTTAGTAGCTCCTAATTAGGACTTAGTATCTCATAAATGGCTGTATAGATGGTTTGTCACGATATGCTGTATGGTTAGATGCCTATATTACTAGTAGCAATCCGGAAGTTGTGGCTAGTTACTTCATGGAAGCTGCCAGAAAACATGACGGATGTAAGGATAAAAATGGACAATGTAACTGAAAATGGACATATTCAGCAAATTCGGTTATTTCTAATAGTAAATGAAGGAGGACCGCACTACACGCAAAACAAAAATCTACAAGATAAACCTGCGGACCAAACAGAAAATAGACATTGCACCAAATAAACAAATATCAAATAAAGTGAATGGATCCGGGGAATGGACAAGATACCAACAACAGCTATATAACTGGTTCAAGCATTCATAACGAAAGCATTGAGCAGTGGTGTGGATTTTTGAGGAAAGGAAATATAAACTACTGGATAAACCTTTTCAAGATGATTAAAGATAATGGGATCTTTACCTGCAATTTTATGGCTAAACCTTTGCTTCAGTTCTGTTTTATGGAACTTATCCAGGTATGAAATAATCATTTCTATGCATCTTACTGAACTAAACTTTGTAATAAAGAAATCCAGTAACCCACCTGTCTTATATACATGTAGCACACATCTCTTCCACAACACACATCACATTGCACCCTTCTCACACTACACACGCCTCTCTCACGCTACAAACCTCTCACACACGCTGCACACACACACACACACACACACACACACTGTCCACCTCGCCCACACAGTGCTCAGTCAAACTACACATCTCGCACAAAATGCACCTCTCTGTCACATCACACACTGAACACACCTCAAACATCGTAATATAGACTACACTGTCAAACATTGTAACCTATTTTACAATGCACACCTCTCAAACATCATAATCTATCTTTACACAGCTCAAACACCGTAATCTGTCTTACAATGCACACCTCTCAAACATCATAATCTATCTTTACACAGCTCAAACACCATAATCTGTCTTACAGATAGCCCCAAAATCGTAATCTGTAAACATTCCTCAAACCTCGTAATCCGTCTTACACAGCAAATACCTCTCATACACTGCACATCTTTCACACTTCACACATGTCACACACTGTAAACTGCTCCTCCCCCCTCTCACTCACCTTCTCACAAACAATATTCTCTCTCTCTCTCTCTGGGGGGGTGGATGGCCGAATGGTTAGCACGCGCGCGCTGTATCATATGGTCTGTCATTGAGTCAACTGACGGGGTTTCGATTCCCCAGTTGTACGTGACAAGGAGTAGGGTCGCCTGTCCAACCTCGGGGGTTTTCTCCGGGTCCTCCGGTTTCCTCCCACTGCTAAAGACCCCTACACGCAAGCGAATTATTGAAATAAAAAAAATAAACCATATGTTAGTCCCGAAATGACCTAGTTTGTGTCGAGTGGACGTTAAACCCCATCTCTCTCTCTCTCTCTCTCTCTCTCTCTCTCTCTCTCTCTCTCTCTCTCTCACAC